CCCCACAGATGGCGCCAAATGTTTATGCAGGAATTTGCACAACGGTTCTTCACGAATCGAGCTCGAACCCGATCTCCGGTTCCGACCTGAACACTAGAGCGGACCTACACAAGAGGGTAAGCACTCCGACGCTGAAGTCAGTATAGATCGGACTCCTTATTTAGTTCGAGGTGAGATTCGATACCTGAGCGTGAAATGAAGTCCTCTATTTATAGGTAATGGATCCGACAGTACACACGACCGGCGGTTATGTGTCTTTTTTTCATATCGGACTTGTCGGGTTCCGAGCAGATCGGACCCTAGTCAGGTCGAACCTTGGTGCCCATACTTGGTCTTTTATAACGGGCGAACCCGGCTACCTCGGCTCTGCCGAGGTGGACCTAAGGAACCCTTCTTTATTTAGTTTCTTTAGACACCAATAAGGGTCCTCCACGTGTCATGGGTATGTTTACCCCCAAACACAATTTAATTTTATAAAAGAAGTTCATTACCTTTCGTGACTCTCTAACTTAGCTTTATAGAAAAAGGCTAATAGGAATTGGCAAGTTTGCATCAACTTCATAAGCTTAAATAAAGTTGGTATGTGTAGCACAATTGATATGGTCATGATGTAGCCAAAGCTCAAAGACCCCACCTACATTAACAAGGACGAAGATCTATAAGAAAGACCCTAAAAAAGCAAAAGGCTTAACTGGATGCATGACCAAATTTTGTCCATTTTGAAGGTCCATAAACAACCATCAAAGGTCAAGAGGAACTGGAAGATGGAGGAAAGGCCAAGATGGGCAGATCTCAAGGACTTGCCTACCGCAAGGCTTTGGGCACAGTGCATGCGCCACCGAGGAAACGCATGCCAAACATCCCCACGCATCCCATGACGCGCACCCCAACTACACGCCCCTGCCCGCACAATGCTAGTTGCCACCAAGTGCCCGTACGTGGCCGACAATGCATGACCCCAACCTACTGCTAACCTCACAATACATATCGCTAACGCCCCTGCACCCCCAGCAGCCGCCCATACACGCTCATTGTGTGGCTCAGTGCTCTCGCCATCACCATCGTCAATGGCCCTCACTCATGCTTTTATTCCCACACCTGCAACTCCCCACGCGCGTCTGTCATGACAGTAGGTCCCCTTACGCGTGCTTCCCATGCTGCCAACCCCACTGTGCCCCTCAACATTTTGGGGCCAATTGGTTTCCTTGTCGCCCACTCTATAACAAATAAGAATTAATCCTCTCCTTATTTTGTTCTATATCACATGTGGAGTTACTTTATTTTCATTAGATTTATTTGATCTTTTTTACTATTTTTTAGCAAATCAGGCCTGTCATATTTTTTATTTATGATAATATTTTGTTTAATTTTTTTCCTTAGAGCAAGTTCCCTTTGTTTTGCAATGATCTTTGAATCTTGAAG